ATTATTATTATAACTAGTATTGATAATAATAATAATAATAATAATAATAATCAAAAACACAAGGAAAACAAATATCTTCCACCCGCGCTGGATCGTCCTTCTCGTGGCAGCAACAGCTCCTCTCCTGGCGCTGTATCTCGTTCGTTATCAAAGTATAAAATCGCGCGAGGGCGCTTCGTGTGGTACAATCTATATTGTATACACATCCGACGTGCGACATACGTGGACATTGTACAACGTACGACGACGCCTCGATGAACCCGTGGGTAGTGGCGTGGTAATAAAATAACGTGGTCCAGCAGCCGCCTGGCGTTGTTTCCTAACGATTGGTCAGTCGTCGAAAAGAGGGTCGCGGAACGGGCGGGGAGGCTGTGGTGTTGTTGTTGTTGTTGCTGTCGCTGTATTGGCTGTTGTGGTGTGTATGTACATATACTTAGTTGATGATGCGTAGGGCCTGGCGCACCGGCTTCGTGCAGATGGGACAGGTCGGCTCGGGACTGCTCACGCATATGCGGTGGCCGCACTCGGCGCAAAAGTTCTTGTGGCCGCAGGGTACGAGCGCGGTCGACACGTCCTTGTCCCCGCAGACGATGCACTCCCGCACGCTCGGAGGACTCATGGTCCCGGTGGCCATGATCCCGTGGAGGCTGTTGCTGCTGCTGCCGCCACCACCACCGAGGGTACTGCTGTTGCCCAGCAGGGAGTCCGTGGGCGAGGCTGGCGACGCCGAAGCCGGGGGGGAGGGCCGCGAGGGCAGCGTCACCCCCGGAAAGCTCCAGATCGAGGAGGCCGCCGCGGCTGCCGCCTGGGACTCGAAGCTGGGCGACTCCCCGAGGCCTTCGTCCCGCTCCATGCCTGCGTTCCAGATGGCCACGAGGTCGTTGAGCCCCGTGGCTCCGGAGCTCGACGACGAGCTGCTGCAGCTGCCGCTGGACGAGAACGCGCCGCTCGAGCCATTGCTGCCACCGGTCTTGGCGCCGTTGGTGCCTTGTGCCCCGGGGGCGTCGAGGCAGCCGAGGATCGAGGTCAAACCGCCCCGGCAGAGGGCCTCCAGGAGGTCCTTCTCCTCGTTGTGCATGCAAATGGGGAAGACGCCCGTGCGCTGGGTGATGTGGGCTTGGATCTCGGTGCGGGCGGCTGCGACGCTCTCGGGGAGGCCGGTGACCTCGAAGACGGGCTCCTTGTCGCGACTCGGGGTGACGATGTACGTGTGCGTCTGGTGCTGGATGCGCTTGATCGTGGCGCCCTTGGGTCCGACGACGAGGCCAACCACGCGGTAGGGTACGCGCACCTGGATGGTTATGTGTCCGGGGACCGAGGCAGGGGGTCCGGGTGGGGCGCCGAGGAGGGCGCCGAGGCTGGATTTGCGGGAGGCGCGGATCTGGGAGAAGTGCTCGGCCGCCGAGAGAATCTCGCGTTTGGCGCGGGCCACGTCCTCTTTGCGTCCCGTTACCACGAAGACCGGCTCCTCCCCGCGCACCGGTGTCTTTATGTACGTGTTGGTCTTTGCGCGCAGCGCTTTGATCTTGCAGCCTGTAACAGAGAAAACAGAGGATCGTTTATTACAGTATATTTTTTTTTATCAACACTCACCCTTCATTCATATTAACATGTTTCGTGACCTTTTTTCCTCCCGTAGGCAATTTTTCATTGCAAAATCTTTGTCTTTTGTCTAGGAATCAATTTTGGATATCAGATAATATCACAATTCGTCAGCGCGCGTACACCGTGGCGCTCAATTTTATTAGATAAGAAAAAGAAAAAAGAACGAATTTCTCTCTAGTCTCCTATAGTCGCCTCTCGCACTTGCCTATTTTGCCGAATTATGTACATCAATATATCTTTTCCATAATCATACACATATAATACTTCGAAGAAGTCGCGCTTTCGTGTCTGAAAAAGCCCCTTGAACTTCACTCGAGACGACGTTCCGAAAGATTTAGTGGCCGTCGACACTGTTACGCAAAATATAAGATTTTTTTTCTTTTTGTTTCCTCAATCTCGTTATATATATACGCAATTCTATACTTCTTTCACATTTACATGATAGGCGCACCGTTCACAATACAAACAGAGTTTTAAGACTAAAAATCAAACAGGAATAATAATGTAACAAAACACAAATCTCTACATATCGCTCGTCCGATTTTTTTTTTCTACCTGCTTTACCACGTACTCGACTTTTGCTCATTTATCAATATCAGTACGGTTGCTAATTTATATATTTACTTGGTAATTTTTTTTTTCTTTTTTTTGGGTTTTTTATTTTTTTTTTTTTTATTCTTAAATCTTTTTTCAACATCTTTAAAATGTTCTGTTAAAATCGATTCGTTGTATATCCGGTTTTTTAACGAGAGAACAGGCGAGAGCCGCGCGATCCCGAACAGATAGTCCTGTCTTATTTTTCATCTATGAAACTCGAAAAAATTTGATGTATAACTATTGTATGCATATATTAAATCATAATCACGCGAGCTTTCGCGTATTCCCTCGTCATTTCTCTATCGGGTATTTTTAACTCCTCGCCACGACTCTCGATCAGACTTGTATTATTTTTTTTTCCATTTTTATTTGAAGATAATAACGCGATCCTACGTACGATCTACATATTAATGTATATATATATATTACCCGTCCTATATTTCTAAATCTATTTTATCATATAATTGTTTGTTTAATTNAATTTGATGTATAACTATTGTATGCATATATTAAATCATAATCACGCGAGCTTTCGCGTATTCCCTCGTCATTTCTCTATCGGGTATTTTTAACTATTTATACGCAGAGACGTGTTTGCATATATATATATATATATACGTATATATGTATGTATATTATATTCGTTTTCTCTTGTTTTAAAGACTATGATTATAATATATTGGCAGCAGCAGCAGTGAAATTGAAAACTTGTGCGCGTCTTCTTCTCTGTAACACTTCTTTATTTTTTTACTTTTTTTTTTTAGTTTTTTGTATCATAATTATCTTTTTTTTTTTTCAAATACGAATCAAAACTTTTTTTTTGCTTCATCATTATCTTCGGGTATTTGTCAGTGTGTCTGTGTGTGCACGTGCAAATGAAATCGGGTACATGGTTGTCGACGCCTTTTTTTTCTCTTCGTTATCCGTGAAAATGCGTCCAAGGTATGTATGCGAAACAAATTCAATAAAGGCAAAAACAGGAAAAAAACCAGCGTGAAACTAAATGCAAAACTTCACTTTTTCTCTCATCACGTATCCTTCTCTTCACGAATTGGTTAAAAATGTCCATCTTCCGTCTAATACATGTCTTCCACATACACGCACACGAAATACACATCGTTGTCACATCAATTTTAGTAAAAAAAAAAAAAAAAAAAACGAAAAATCAGTCCAGTCAATCATCACATTGTTCATCGCAATCATCATGATCAGCATCATCATCATCATCGCGTCTCTTTCGGTATCGAACCGAAGAGTATAGGTAATTACTATTATGATTATTATTGTATGCAAAAACGAACAAAACTCTATTACTTACAAAAAAAAAAAAATAAAATAAAATAATGATAATAATAATAATAATAATAATAATAATCAAAAACACAAGGAAAACAAATATCTTCCACCCGCGCTGGATCGTCCTTCTCGTGGCAGCAACAGCTCCTCTCCTGGCGCTGTATCTCGTTCGTTATCAAAGTATAAAATCGCGCGAGGGCGCTTCGTGTGGTACAATCTATATTGTATACACATCCGACGTGCGACATACGTGGACATTGTACAACGTACGACGACGCCTCGATGAACCCGTGGGTAGTGGCGTGGTAATAAAATAACGTGGTCCAGCAGCCGCCTGGCGTTGTTTCCTAACGATTGGTCAGTCGTCGAAAAGAGGGTCGCGGAACGGGCGGGGAGGCTGTGGTGTTGTTGTTGTTGTTGCTGTCGCTGTATTGGCTGTTGTGGTGTGTATGTACATATACTTAGTTGATGATGCGTAGGGCCTGGCGCACCGGCTTCGTGCAGATGGGACAGGTCGGCTCGGGACTGCTCACGCATATGCGGTGGCCGCACTCGGCGCAAAAGTTCTTGTGGCCGCAGGGTACGAGCGCGGTCGACACGTCCTTGTCCCCGCAGACGATGCACTCCCGCACGCTCGGAGGACTCATGGTCCCGGTGGCCATGATCCCGTGGAGGCTGTTGCTGCTGCTGCCGCCACCACCACCGAGGGTACTGCTGTTGCCCAGCAGGGAGTCCGTGGGCGAGGCTGGCGACGCCGAAGCCGGGGGGGAGGGCCGCGAGGGCAGCGTCACCCCCGGAAAGCTCCAGATCGAGGAGGCCGCCGCGGCTGCCGCCTGGGACTCGAAGCTGGGCGACTCCCCGAGGCCTTCGTCCCGCTCCATGCCTGCGTTCCAGATGGCCACGAGGTCGTTGAGCCCCGTGGCTCCGGAGCTCGACGACGAGCTGCTGCAGCTGCCGCTGGACGAGAACGCGCCGCTCGAGCCATTGCTGCCACCGGTCTTGGCGCCGTTGGTGCCTTGTGCCCCGGGGGCGTCGAGGCAGCCGAGGATCGAGGTCAAACCGCCCCGGCAGAGGGCCTCCAGGAGGTCCTTCTCCTCGTTGTGCATGCAAATGGGGAAGACGCCCGTGCGCTGGGTGATGTGGGCTTGGATCTCGGTGCGGGCGGCTGCGACGCTCTCGGGGAGGCCGGTGACCTCGAAGACGGGCTCCTTGTCGCGACTCGGGGTGACGATGTACGTGTGCGTCTGGTGCTGGATGCGCTTGATCGTGGCGCCCTTGGGTCCGACGACGAGGCCAACCACGCGGTAGGGTACGCGCACCTGGATGGTTATGTGTCCGGGGACCGAGGCAGGGGGTCCGGGTGGGGCGCCGAGGAGGGCGCCGAGGCTGGATTTGCGGGAGGCGCGGATCTGGGAGAAGTGCTCGGCCGCCGAGAGAATCTCGCGTTTGGCGCGGGCCACGTCCTCTTTGCGTCCCGTTACCACGAAGACCGGCTCCTCCCCGCGCACCGGTGTCTTTATGTACGTGTTGGTCTTTGCGCGCAGCGCTTTGATCTTGCAGCCTGTAACAGAGAAAACAGAGGATCGTTTATTACAGAGATTCGTGGTTTTTTTACAATTTTTTTCTTTAAATTCAATTAATACTATGAAATTCATCAATTAAAGTGCAAGTGTAGGAAAAACAAGGCCAAAAGTGGGTGTAATAATTATCACGAATGTAATCATAGCTTTGCTTTTGAGCCGTCACGTTGGGACGAAAAAACAAATATATAAAGGGAATGGGTCCGTTTCTTTATGCCTATACAATCGCAGATTCCCAAGCATCGCTGGGTGGTTATTGTCTCTCGTCCACTGGTTTTTACCAGAAGTAAAGCAATCACCTGTACATTACATCGAGGCACGGCAAATTTAAGATACGGAGTCAAGAGAGAGAGAGTGGCGTTTTATTTTTATCGACGTAAACAGGAATCACCTAGCACTAGTATCCCACCACGTGGTCACCGCAAGTATCTCCAGAGAGAGAGAGAGAGAGCGGAAAAAAAGCTCCTGATGGTCAGAGGGGATAAAAGAAACTCGTCCAAGACACGAGTATCCATAGAAAGAGAGGATGGACCGGCAGGAGGAGGAAGAAAAACAAGGGGTGGTAGTTGGACGAGACTACCCGGCCTTGCGAAGCGCGCGAGCGAGATGGAGAAGCCCTCCCATAATAAAAGGCTCCTCGTTGTCGTTTCAGCGCAATGTTAGCAATGCAGGTGAACCACTCGGGCGTGCGCGCGCGCCACTTCTCTTTCTCGCTCTCTTTTGCTTCACTCTCTCCTTCGCCGTATGGCGAGCGAAACTCGTTTCTCCAACTTATACGCGGATATATAATATATATATACTATACGTACACACGCGTGTGTACACGGTAAATGTAGGTATCGCCGGGCGAGCTTCGAGAGGAGGGCGTCCTCCTCTTTCCTTACGCTGCTGGGATTCTGCAGAGCCCGCGTGGAGATTATTAGTATTAGTATCCCCCATGAGACTGCACTCGTGCTTTAGACGGATAGAGCGTTCGATTTTTTTTTGTTTGTTTTTTTTGTTTTTTTTTTCAACTGCGGTTAATCACAGCTGTTTTGCGCGCATGATAGGAAATTTGCGTTTGTTTTCTCTTCTTTTGTCGAGCGATGTAAATTTAATTTTCGTCATTGTACAAGAGAGCGGATTATAGTTTTACAGTAAGTACTATTTAATGTATATATTTTTTTTCTCGGTAAACTTGTTCCTCTTGAAATTCTACAAATGGAAAAATTCAACTCGATAATTGCTTAAGACTTGTACGTTTTGCCAGTTTGTTTAAACAAACGTGCCCCACGCACGATTCTTGACATCTGGTGGTTGGGTGACGCTCTTTCAAAATGCACCACCACCACCCAGCTAATACGTGCCAGTCGTCGTGAGATCCATCTGCTCGAAATCTGTTACCGTTTGCCTGCATACGACTGTTTGGTACAGGAGCAATGGCGGCAGCTGCACCAACACCCTTCGATCGTTAATTTACAGGCCATTCGAAACGCTTTCCCGCTCACTTGGGCTCAAAATTCCGACATTGACGCCCAAGATCCAATGACTCGGACGAAAAGTTGATCAACGTCCTATGAGGGTCATATTTGTACTAGCGTCGCCTGTATATATGTTAATCAACTACCGCGTCAACCACGACATTACAACAGGTTTTTAATTACTTTTTCGAGACGTTTTCGTGTACAGGTCACTTTGGCGCCCATTAGAGCAAAAATTAATGGGCCGAGCGCGTGTCGTCGTATTACCGCGGGCATTTTATTATTGCACGTTTTATCGCCGTGTACACTTTACTCTCGGAGAGTTTGCATTACGAGGTACTCTATCGCTCGAAACGGGCATCAAAAACAAAGACAACTCTCGCAAGAGAGCCATAGGGTATTTTACGCACGTATACGTACTTCTTGTCTCGCGGGAGGGCGAAACAGCTGGGAATAACCAACACACCGGTGTACGGTAAAACAGCTGTAAAACAACCCGACCATAGTATAGTCGCCGTGCACGAGCAAGAGAGAGAGGAGGGATCCTGATTTATCGCGGCAATCGAGCCACGGACGGACGATTATTTATTTATTTATTTATATTTACCATCGAGCAGCGAACCCCCCTCGGTGCAGGGGTGCAAACACACACACACACAAACAGTAGGCGTACATTAAACTGCCCTACGTACCACATCTCATGTAGCATCGAGACTCTCTACTGCTGTATATTATGTACACCTACCCGGTACGAGTTGCATATAGGTAAAGCGGCAAAGCTGCAGGTATACGTGATATAGTTGCAGCAGCAACAACGAATCATCGAAGGATAAGATTCCCGGCGTGCCTGCACGCGATTATCCTCCGCTTGTGTATATATACGCGCTCCAACACTTGCGCGCGGCCGATTCGCGAAACGTAATAATCCTCTTTTTCCCAACTCAAGGCGCGAGAGAGAGAGAGAGAGAAAACAAAGGAGGACGAAAGCCAGGCAGACGCCAGAGTTTTCTCAACCGCGACCCTGTAAGTATTGTATTATATATTATGTTGGTACTGCGTTGTTGCACTGCACCATACGCGCAGACAGTACGAGAGAGAAAGGAGAGAGAGAGAGAGGGACGCACGGGAGGTCCTTGCGCGCATACCGCGACAATGTCAGGGCCGTTCGCCGGCGTAAATGTGTGTACGTATACGTGCGCATGTATGTGTTACATACACCGTATACCAACAAGCGCAGCGGCAACAGTCAGGGCCGTTCGAGCGCAATGCCGCGCTCGCGACTTGCACTCTCTTTCTCCCTTTCCTCCCTCCCTCCTCCTATCTATCTATCTATATACATCTTCTTCTTTTGCTCGTCTCTCCGCGCGAGTAAGTGTATTTTTAGCGTTTGAGGAAATTCTCAAGCTTATAAAGAAAGAGATATACCTACATAGGCCTGCGTGCACGTGTGCACTACCTACTCTATATAAGTATATACACATTCTCGCTTTTCACGCACCAAAAGTGGTGCTCGTGGATGGTTGTTTTACGTTTTGTTTTCGACCGAGGGGTGGTTTTTCTCGCCGATTCTTTGAAACGCAGGTATCATTGATAGCCCGTGTCCACAATGTTGACAAACGCAAGTAATGCACGACGGCTTATTATCTGTTTGATCAATCCACTATTGGACACTCGAACCAATATAGCCAATATATAACGCACGTCGACGACATTCAATTAAGGATGGAGGCATCGCGAGAAAAAAAAAATCAATCCCAACACACACGCACACACTTGTATATTGATGGAGAATCGCGAGGCTGGATCCCCGACTTGCTCCTCCTCGGAGCGCCGCCGATCGTTTTCTCAAATAAAACGCCCCGGCGCGGCCAGTAATCTTGACATCGATACGGCCGCGGGGGCCTTTTTTTTACCTCTTCCCCTTGGGTGTCTATACGTGTGTACGTATGAAGAGGAGGGGGAGATGGAAAATACCGATTCCCCAGCAATTGCACGCCACCTAGGTTGAAAGGGTCACTCGCCCGCGAGTATATATATTATATGTTTATATGCACTCACAGGGTGGGTATCCTCTTTTGATTATTATTAACTACGTAGCCGTGCACGCTAGCTCTTTTGTCTCTCGAGCCGTGGCTGTTGGGCGATTCTCCTTTTACTCGACCAAAGTGCCATTTTACTCGATAAGGACTCGACACACCGCAGTACCATAGAGGAGGATGGTATACGGAATCTTGGATTTGTCGTTTTGCGTTCTCACGGGAGCAGGGGTGGGGGTGGGGGGTCGAGCTTACACGCGGCAGGCAGAGTCGTGCAACCTCTGCTGGCTTTTATTGTGTCGAGGCCGGGTTTCTGGTTTTTCAAGATAAGGGGAACGAGCTGCTTGGCATTTTTGCCCACGGGACATATTAAATCGAGTGGGATGACGTATACACGGACAAGTGAGCTTTGGTCGAGGGTTTCCACGTTAGCGCAACTATACGATTGTTGGAAGCTCCGAGGGGATGTTTTACGAGATTGCAATTGATGCCGCATACCTGAGTCATCTATGGTGTGCCGTACACAATTAATGGTTTTTTTTTAATTTTTTTTTTTTTATTTCTGCAAAACTGCATTAGCTGGGGTGCAACGGCGGGGACTTTTTGTATCAATTGAATTACATTATTATCGTGGTTTTTATGCTGATGGGCGACGTGAGGTGTGCACCTTTCAATTTTCGGAAGCCCCGCAACGATGACAACGACGACGACACTTTTTACATATTAACATCACGCAAGCTTTCACCTGTATACCGTGGGCACCTCGCAGTTTGTAGTGCTTCTCCCCTCGTCCTCTTTACATCCTCAGCGCGAATTACCGGCATGTTTTTTTTTTTTTTTTTTTGACTTATGAAAGTATGAAAAACCTTTCTTTTACTATCCAGCCTGACAATTCACTTGTCCCGTCACGCAGGTGCGAGAAAATAAACTTTTTTTCTCCTCCCTCGTTCGCATAATGGTATAAATGCACCGTACCATCCCTTGCGATAAGTTCGTATACCCGATGAATATTATACCGTAGAGAAGACTGGACAGGTGCTCTCCTCTAGCTCAAATTTCACCCAACGCATGTGTTACGTCACAGCTGTTCCATGTATACGTGCTATCACGTCCCATTGAACCCGCATGGTAAGGGCACATCATCCGAACGAGGTGAGAGGAAATGAGCTGCAGTGGGAGAACATATATAAGTAGCAGAAAGCAGGAGTTACCGGCAAAGAAGTAGAAAATAAGCAGCGGAACACCGGCAGAGTAGGAGGAGGAAGAAGTAATAGCTGTCCGGTGCTTATACAGGCGGACGGTCTGGCCGAGGCGAAAGGAAGAGTATGGGTATGTGTGTGTGCGTATATATATATACCACGTACAGGGAGGATACAGCGGGGGGGCGTGGGTCGTAGACAGTTGAAGGGCCGCGGCCAAGGTGAGCCGAGAGCACACCTCCTCCTCCTCCTCCTGCCGATGCTTTTTTAGCCACGCGCGCTTGGC